AATTATATAATTAACTAATCAGAATCTATAATGATATTTAATATTTATGTAAGTTTGCTAATATTACCATCTTTTAAATTTTGTTACATAAACTTAGTCCGTTAATCAAATTTAATTTAATTAATAATAATTTTCGAAAACATTAAAATTATAATGTAATTATAATGTAATTATAATGCATAATGATTTAATTAAAAATAAAATAATTAAAAAATAATGAAAAATCGTTCAATTATTATTTCCATTATATTATAAATGTAAAAAATCCTTGATAACTAAAATTTTTCGAAATTTATAATATAATAAAATTGATTAAAATGTACAATATTTCTCATTATAATAAACTTATTGAATTTATATGACAAGTCATTGTCATCCTGTTTCAAAATCTGATAATTATAAAATATTATAATAATTTTTTATTTGTATGAATAAAACTTATACATATACATGCTCGAAAACTACACAAATAAATGGCATGGTTTCAAGAAATATATTTTATGCATTAAAGCTTTCACAATTGTTATACGTTTTGCACTCTTGTATGATAAGTTATTAGTCAGTGATGAAATGTTTGTGAATATATATCTGCCTTTGTTATGAAAACAATAATGTACGAGATTGAATTTAAAATAGTAATATGTTTAAATATCGATGCAAAGTATTTGTTCCTTTAAGATATTTATTTCAAATAAGTATACGAATCTATGGAAAAAAAAATATTTTTTTATACACAGATGTAGTTTCAAAATAAAAATATGATTTTGAAAATTTAAATTCTTTAATTCTTTAATTCATAATTTTCTTCATAATTTTCTCTTTTAATATTTCTTTTCAATTACAAAAAGACATGGATTGCCTCAGTTACGTGGATCATTATAATTATAATATTTTAAGCATTATAATGTATTTTGTAAACCATTGAATTTTTCTTTGTCTGTATAAGCTTATATTCACATTATTATCATTGCTCCCCATTCTATGATTAACTCGTACGATTTTATCAACCCCCACATAATTATGTGACTGTCGTGTTGAATATATTGCTGAATCTTTTAATCTCAAATAGTCCAATAATTTGTTTAATAAATATATATGCATATATATTTAAATATATGTAATATGTACCTCTAATTACATAAGAATTTTATGATATGAATCATCCATTCACAATCGCGATGTCGTTCAACTGTGCATCATGGAAAAACCTATCTAATCTAAATATTAGATTATCAGATAATATTTTTTTTCTTTATTTCTAAGGAAAATATAGAAAATATTTTTACTTTGAATTTATTAATTATGTATATATACAGATCCCAAAAATATTGGAACATTTGTAAATTGAAGATTCCTCAAATAATTTCAAGCAACATTTTTCTTTACAAGAAGGAAATTTTCATTATAGCTTTTCTAACGAATTATTAACAAAAAACACTGGTCAATCACGAAACGCGTAGCCTAGTTGAGCCGCGACACTAGCATTGACTATTGAATATGAACGTATTTCGAAGAAAGTCTGTTGAATATTATATTTATTTATTCATTGTTCGTGATATAATTCGTGATATAATTTTTTCGATCGATAAAAAAATATTTCAATAAACAATTAGCGAATTTGGTTCTGAGAAAAATGTTTATTTCGAAATAATATTCATCGAGTCAATTTCATTCGATTAATTTTAACTTGATACTATAAGTATTCTTGAAATATTTGACAGGTTTGCAATTAAATATCATTGTCGATAACATTTAATGTCATTTACTATGCTTCGTTTCTAAATATAATATTTGAAAATATGTTGCACATATTTCATTTTTTCACATTATTTACAAATACAATGGACACAAGCTTATATGCATCCGTATGTAAACGCTGCGAAATGTTTATTTCCGTTATTAGTTTATCTATTTTTGTTATTAGTTTCTTTATCTTATAATGCAGAAATATCCTATTGTAAAAGTATATAAACGATGTAAAAGTATATAAACATATTGTGATATATATATATATTATTTTCTGATTCTAGAGGTTATATTGAATACAATATACATATCTGGATAATTTTGGATTAACATAATCTCTCGAATCCTTTATGATGCAACACAAAATCGGAATAAAAGATTCTAGATTCGTTCATTTCTAAAATGAAGAATAATATCTTTATAACATTTCTTGAAAAATTCCTTATTTTATCATCGTAGAGAATTTTTAAATTGCGTGGAAGAATTAAATTACTTGACTAAAAATTATATTATATAATCGATCATATAGTGAAAAAAATACAGCAAAAATTATAAGTATGATATTTTTTTATTTAGATATTTCTAAATATTTATAATTATAATTTATCGATACGATAATAATATCAACAAAGAGGTTATTAAAATAGCTATTAACAAAATATATCAAAATGGAAATTCTAATTGGCAAAATAAAAATAGAAAAATATTAAGAGAAAAATAATTCTAAAAATTAAGATAACATTAATCTGAAGTTGAAATTGTGAGATTATATGCACATGTATGCTGTAAAATATATATTTATAATTATAATTATTATATTATTATATATACAATTATTTTTCTATTGTTTATATTTCTCTAAAAAAAATTACAAATTGTGTCGTCGTAGATATTATTTCTTCTAAATTTACGAATCGATAATATTAAAAACAAAAAAAGACACGAACAAGAAATTGAAAATTTTTATCCTGTAATAGTTTACTTAATATGTCGCCGTTTTTAGCATCACAAGTTTCTTGCTTGTTAATTTTGCGCGAAAAATGCTTATATAATTTGAAGAAAATATTTTCGTGACCAGAAAGATAGCAACAACTCTGCATTGCTAAATTGATTTTTATTTGATGCGTCTACTAGTAAATATTTATATATTTTTATGCAATTAAGAATGGAGAAATGTTTGGTGCTCTTAACAACGCATGTGCTATCCTTTCTTATCATCCAAACAAGTCATATTATCAAGTTGTTTTTAATAAATGCCCCCCACTCATTATGCCTCACTAGAAGTTTTTCTCCCCTTTCTTAATCATGTAATATTCATGAATTTCATTTTTTACGTACGGGGTGTTCTATTCTATTTTACAAATCTATTATTATTACATGGACGGCCATGTTATTTTTTCGTGAAATTTTTATGAAAATGAATCAAAAATTGAAACAAATATCTTGTCATTGAAATAATCTTAAAATTTATCTTGTTTCTTACTTGTAATAACTTTATCTTAGATTAATAAATGTAATAAATAAAAATAATTATCACTTTTTAATGATCCAAATATTCATTAACATACGCTTCTGCATTTGCAACATTTATTTCTTATAAGTCGTGTTTAAGTCATAAAGTATTATACTTTATTAAAAATTATAATTTCTAAAAATGAGAAACATTAGAAATTAATTCGATCGTATCGAATAGAAATTTCTTGATCACTGTATATATTACATTATAATTATTATTATAGTATACATATATTGAATCGGCAAATCCCCTCTCTTTTATTTTCGAACACAGAGAGGGGGATTCTTTGCTTCTTTCTGACTCTTATGCCCCTTGCGTCAATAAATAAAATATTAACCGATATTAATTGCAGACATTATTCGAAGAATGCCCAAGGAATGCAAATATATAATTCGTGAATTAACAGTATAATATTTACACTTTTGAACAGTGAATATTTTGTGATCGTATTAAATTTTACATTTATTATTATTATTATTATTATTATTATTATTATTTAATTTTATTTTTCGATATTGCGATTTCAATTTTCCCGATTCAAAAGGATAATAGAAACAATTATCCCAACATCTAGTTTATGAAGTGTTTACTCGTGTTTTTATGATCTCGCATAGTGTATTTTGTGCGTTAACAATTGTTCTAAAAAATTAAATATTTCCTGGTTATTTACTATCCATCCATTACTATGGTTCAATTACGGCGTCAGGTAAATTATATATTTTTTTTATAAGTTTTATAAATTTTTTAATAAAAAATTTGTAAAAAAAATTTTGTGAAATATTAACATGATAAATAATAATATGGATTGAAACGTAAAATATTCTGAAAATATTATTATATCTATAAGAGTTGTTTACTCAGTCTGAATTTTTTATGGAATCTTTATAATTATCTCTTAGTTTCCGTGATGATGTAAGATTCTTACATACATGTAAATATTGTTTAAATTTATATTAACAATAAAAAAAATGTTGAATAATTGTTAAATAAAATGTTAATATTTTTTGTTTTTTTGATTTTTAAAATTATAATAGAATTATAATAGAATTTAAAATCTATTATAATTATAATGTTTTTACTGTAAAATATCATATTATTAATTTATCTACAATAAAAATGTATTGTATTAAAATATCATATTTATCAGAAATATAATTAACAAAATTGATAATTAACAAAAATTTATTTATAATTATCATTTATTTATAAATATTTTTATAAACTTCAATGATTCTTACATTTAATATTTGAATTTATGCTTTTTTGTATTATATTTATATTTTCAAAATTATGAATTCTATAATTTTAATATGATAATTACAAACAATAATGTTCACAAAAATTAAAAACGAAGTTTAATTATTTTATCTGAATAAAACAAAATTTTATAAACTTTATGACATTGACGCGTGCGTTCTTGAATGTTCAATGTGACATTTAGTGCGTTTGATGCCACGTGCTACACAGAATATATTTTAAATGTCTTTGCTAATGCAAGATTTAAATCTATTTTTATTTTAAATTTTCTATACATTTTTTAAATTTGTAATAAATAAATAAATTATATAAAATTATAGATAGATTAAAAATATTAATATATTTTGTTGTCTTAAGCTTATTATTGTATATTACTTCCGTTAACAATTTGTAAAAAAAATTAAGATAAGCTTTTATCGTATTCATCGTAATGTATACGATAGATTATTTATAAATTTTAATACTTTCATCATATTAACTTCTCTTGTTTTTTCATATAATTTATTTCATTTAATTAGATATTTCATAATACCGATATGAATCGATAATTGAGATATTATATTATTATAATTTTCAACATATGTTCAAAGCAATTTTTACAATATGCCAACGAAAAATTTAAATATTACATAATTTATAATTTTAAAAAAGAGTTTGTTCTTTTACAAATATATATTAAAAATTATATAATATCATAATAATTTCACATAAACAAAAATATGTTTATTACTTTATTGTTTTTTAAGTATTTGTATATATAGTTTTTCAATTATATGATAATTATATGATAATATATATTAATATATGAATATATTAACATGTATATATTACTAAAGTATAGCAATTTCATATATATAGATTTTGACTTATGGGAATTTTTTGAATCAACTTCAACTTAATATCAAAAGAAATTCATCATCTTTACAAATTAAAGATAAAAAAGTAATACAACCAGAACGTTCTTTTAGGGTATGTTTTTTTTTAAAAATATGTACTTTTATGTACTTTTATATATAGCTTAAAATGATTATTTTAAATAAAATTTATAAATTATGTTTTATAGTATACAGATCTATCAGTTCGTCTTGCAGGACCAGAACAATTACAACCAAAACCTGATGTTAGTGATTTAGCATTTGGTAAATATTTTACAGATCATATATTAAAAATATTTTATCATGAAACATTAGGAGGATGGCAAAGACCAGAAATCGCTCCATTTGAAAATCTAGTTCTTCATCCAGCATCAAAAGTATTTCATTATGCTATAGAGGTAAATATAATTTTAATATTTAAAAAGTTTTCTATCTATTTTAGTTCTCCATTTTAAATATTTATTTATTACATATATTTGATTTTTAATCTTTATATTTAATGTTTTTAATAGTATGTATTTAATATCTCTAGAAATTAAATATTTGAATAATAACAAATTTTTATGATCAATATATATTATATGTATATATTTTTATTTTAGTTGTTTGAAGGTTTAAAAGCTTACAGAGGAGTAGATGGTAAAATAAGAATATTTAGACCAGAATTAAATATGGAACGAATGAACAGTTCTGCAATGAGAACTGGTTTACCTGTTTTCATTGGAGAGGAATTAATTAAATGTTTATGTAGATTAATTAGTATTGATCAAGAATGGGTACCTCATTCTACTGCTTCTAGTCTTTACATACGGCCAACAATGATAGGAATAGATGTAAGTATACATATTTAAAAAAATAATTTTATCAAATACAAAATATATATTTGAAATAAATATATTAGTTTTATAAATTTTAATATAATTTTAATCAGTTAAATGATAGGAATAATAATCATACCACTGATGTCACAGATGTCATAAAAACAAATATATATAATATAAGCAATATATTTCACAATACTTTATGATAATACATGATAAATCGATACTTAATGCTCTTTTGTTGAGGCAGGGCAATAAGATACAGTTACATTGAAAGTTATATTATAATGCATGCATTTTGTATTCTAAAAAGAAACAAGAACTAATGATTAAAAATTAAGAATAAAAGAATCAAAATACAATATCTTAAATATTTTATCTTAAATATTTTTTCATTCAATGTTGTGTATAAAGTATTTATTAAAATATTTTTTATTCTTTTAGTTTTACTTATAGTTATATATTTATTTTTTATATAAAAATTACATTCACATCATATTTCATTTTATAAATTGAAGTCAAAAAAATTGGTCTAATAAATTATTATTTATTATAATTGATGCAATGTTTTTATTAAAAATGATTCAAATGAAGAAATAATCATAAATAAATATTTCAACATAAAAAAAATATTCAATATAAAAAATAACATAAATAACCAATAATTTTATATAATAAACATTAATTAAATATATCAATCATTGTATAAAAAAAATAATATTTGTATATTAATTTTTATATCTTTGTATAGCCTATCCTTGGTGTTACATCTTCGGAATCTGCTTTACTTTATGTTATTTTATCACCTGTGGTTCTTATTTTAAAAAACAAAAAAGACATTGGGATATCTTTATTAGCTGATCCTCAATACACAAGAGCATGGCCAGGTGGTTGTGGTAACTATAAAGTAGGCAGTAATTATGGTCCTACAGTATATGTACAAAAAGAAGCTATAGGAAAGGGTTTACAACAAGTATTATGGCTTTATGGAGATGATAATGAATTAACTGAAGCTGGAACTATGAATGTGTTTATATTCATTTTAAATGACGATGGTGGTAAGTGATTATTACATATATATTTTACTGCATTTAACTATTATATATATATTCTACCGAGAAATATTTTTAATTTTTATTGTTTTATCATTTTAGAAAAAGAATTAATAACTCCACCATTGACAAGTGGTTTGATTCTTCCTGGAATTACAAGAAATTCTATTTTAGCATTAAGTAAGAAATGGAATCAATTTAAAGTTAGTGAAAGAAAGATTTGTATGGATGAAGTTTGTCAGTTACTTTCAGAAAACCGAGTAAGATTTTTTTTAAATATTTTCAGATTGAAGTTTGATCAAATATTAAAAAAAATCACAATTTCATTTTAGTTATTGGAAATATTTGGAGCAGGAACAGCTTGTATAATTAGTCCAGTATCTTACATAGACTTTGTTGGACAACTATTATATATACCTACAGTGGAACATTCTAATCCTATTTATAAAATGCTTTTGAAGCATTTATCTGATATACAATATGGTGTTATACAAGATCACCCTTGGGCGATACCTATCGAATGAAAATAGGATAATTTATTGGATTATTTACTAAATAATCGTAAATAAAAGCGATTTCATATTTATACTACAATTGGAAATGATGTAACTCTAGTAGTGATTTTATTGCTAGTTTTATATGAATATCATTTCTATTTATTTATATGTATGATTTTTGATCAAAAAAAGCGACTTCTTTTAGAATATAAAAGAAGCGAATATGTATTGAAAATTTATCTCAGGGAATAATTGTTTACTATTGAAAACAAAATAATTGTTAATACTGAATTTTAAGAATTGATACGATGATTTGAGAGAGAGAGAGAGAGAGAGAGAGAGAGAGAGAGAGAGAGAGAGAGAGAGAGAGAGAGAGAGAGAGAGAGAG